CAGCCTATAAATCAATAAGCGCTTATCTAATTTTCCACGAAACGGCTGTTATCGATTGTAGGTTAATGTCTGATATATTGTCTAATTAGATTTTTCGAATGGGAGCTAAGTTTGGCAAAAATCGCTGCTAGTCAAGGCAGTCGGGAAGTCTGGTATTATGTCATCAGAAAGTTTTATCGATATGAATATGGAAAATACATCAACAATGATTTCCCATAAATTGCAAACGTTTCATGATTGAAAGGTATTTCCCAGTTTTTATCTGTGAAGACCGCTTCTAAATAACACACTTATGAATTAATAACGCTTGCGTTTACTGCTCGGAATTCAAGTGGCAGTCAAGTGGAAAAGTCCAAGATTGGGCACCATGACTAATGGCAGGTACACTGGTTCGAGTACGAAAAGATTTGGTCAACGGAAGGCTCGCACACAAATATGCTCAGTTCGTGAGATAAGAACTTTTATTATATGCATATTTAATGCGTATCTTTAACGATAATCATCCACGGCTAACAATAACTGATTTGCGCTGATTAAATAATAATAATAAATTTAACTATATCACATTATTTAATTATTAATTAAAAAATGATTAAATCTTAAAATTGATAAAAACAAAGAAAGAAATACTTCGCACACCACAGCACAGATTTAATTCAAGCTTGGGATCGGAACTCGCCATCTGCCTCTTTACTTACAATGTCTAAAATGAGTTGAGTAAAACAATATCATTTAAATAACAATTGCAATGACAGGACTCAGTATTACAAATAGCCAATGTCCTGTGGTCCTGTGCAGCATAGCACAGCGGTTGGCCTGTCCAAGAAGACGCGCAAAAATTGTCACCGTCAGTGACAGGCGCTGAAGTTGTCGTATCCTTTAACCAGCTCGAGCCAGGCGCCGTCCAGGCTTGGACACGCTGTTTGTTTTGTGCTCCTTGATGTTAAAAGGGAAACGTTGAGATGGCTGTCATGAATGTGGCCGCGTCTTCGGCTGCTGCTGCTTCTGCCGCTGACGGCAACTGAAGTGCGGACAAAGCTGAGTATTTGACAAGGCCAAAACCAGGCAGAATTTTTCTCAGCTCCTTTCGCTTGGATCTAGCAAACGGACAGCATTCATATTTATACACGTAATGAGCGCCGCTTTTCTTAACTACACTACTTGCTCTTGATTTTTATTTGATTCAGCTATAAGATTCGCAGATAAGCTTAATCTTAGATAAGATAAAAAGTGTAAATAAAATGTGGGATTTACAATCCTACAAAATAAATTACAGATAACAGTTAAAAATAGTTCTTGATATATTTTATTGCCTATCAGTGAGAAATAATCGATTATTTAAGATTCAAGATCAGCTAGAAACAATCTACTAATACTCGGTTTTAGGCAAAGCTCTTTCTATTTCCCTCTTTCACTATTCCCCTCTCTGTTCTCGGCATAAGAATAGTTTATCCACATTGTTCTAGAGAAGTGAAATAATCTAATAAACGGGTAGACATTTTTGTTATAACAAAACAGAGTATACTTTAGTTTTGGCAAAGATAAGCCAGAACTGAATGGCCTAATCGTGCTTAGAGCATTTTGACAGTGTTTCGGCTACAAAATCGAAGCTGTCAACTAGCTGCAATATACAAAGGCGATTCAGATTCGGCTGACTGCGCCTTGCCCAATCAGCTGCCAGTTGCGATAGACAGACGTTCGGTTAACCAAAAGCAAGTTGGCCAAAAAGCATCAGGCAACATTTCGATGCTGCTGCGAGTTGTGCCCCACAGACACAAAAAACTTGTGGGAACAACAAGAAACAAAACTAAATGCAAGGACAACAAAAAGCGTTTAAGCAGGATGTGTATGTGTGTGTGAGTGAGTGTGTGTATGTCTGAGTGTGGGTTGAGCAACAGCTTGAGCTACAACAACAACATAATCAGCAGCAGCAGCAGCAACAACAGCAGCAGCAGCAGCAGCAGCGACAGCAGCAATGGCAACTGGCAGCAACAGCGGCAGCAAGAGTAACCGTTATTAAAGATTTTGAATACCTAATTATGAAAATGTCAGACGCAAACGTTTTTTTTGGGGGGAAAGCACATAGCAAGCGAGAGAGAGGAAGTTGAAGGGAAAGAGATTCAGAGCGAATTGCTGCTGTTGCTGCTGCTGCTGTTGTTGTTGTTGCTGCTGCTGCTGCTAGCTAGCTTATTGTTGTTGTTTTTACTATTATTGCGGCTAACAGCAGCAGCAGCAACAACAGCAAATTGTGTTTGTGATGTGCCTGGCAGCCAAAACGTTTCACTTCTCTTTGCCTCTGCCGCAGCAGAAGCAGCAGCAGTTGCTGTGCAGCAGCAACAACAGCCTCAACATCAGCAGCAGCAGCAGCAGCAGCAAAATATGAAAAATTCCATTTTCATGTCACTCAATTGAATTTCCATTCAAGTTTTCTTTTATTTTTCGCTGCTGCTGCTGTTGCTGCTGGTTTTTTCTGACGACGACGCCAGCAACTGCGCCGCTCCTGCGCCATTTTATATTTTTGCCACGTGTGTGTGTGTGTGTGAGTGTGTGCGTGTGTGCATGTGTGAGTGTGTTTTGTATTTTTGGCTTTTTCAGCTAAATTAATTGCCTACGGAATTGTAGTTAGTTGGCAACGTCCATTGTTGCTGTTGTTGTTGTTGTCGCTGTTGAAAGCTCAAATACAAATACAAATACAAAATGCCAACAACACACACACACACACCTATACACGTACACACATGCGACTAGCCAACAATGGCAAGCCAAAAGTCCTTTTGCGAGTTTATGGCAAAAATAAATAAATTTGGGTTTATCTCAATGGCATACAAGTCATTTGCAGCTGAGATTTTTTTCTGCTCTACATAAACTAGGAGTCAGCTACGGCTGCTTCTTCTTTCACTTCCACCCAGCTCTCGTTTGTGCCTTGCGGTTTCACTAAAGGTGGGCGTGGGTATGAGCACAACATGTGAACAATTGAGACATCTCGAATGGATCTGTGCAACTGGACAGGGACACGAACGTTAACTCAAAGCCTGAGATTAGCATTGTATTCCGAGGCGACTTTATTGATGAATTGTGCAGTTGGGCTCTGACTACGCCACAGCAAATACATGTGTATGTTTGTGTGTGTATGAGCTTATGCGGGTGTGTGCTTAGAATTATACAATAAACTGAACCCACATAACTCCCGCTGTCGCAAGTCATCTGACAAGCTGCCAAGAGCCGTTATATTTAATTCCTCAAAGTGCATACTATATCATAAATCTCAGATATACATACTATGCCTAGACTGAGGCATATCTCTGGGAAGCAAAAATAGCCACCTAAGTCGGTTCGTTGAAAAGGATCCGAAATCTACCTAAGCTTTGTTTTAACGGTTAGAATTGTTTGTCAGTGCTTAACCGATATGTAGCTAACTGCTAACCCTAAGTGTTAATAATAACTTTAAAACTAACTTTATAATAAATAATCAACAGATTATTTTTTCGCAGATGTTTTCGGCCGGATCAGATAACTTTCATATATATATTTCTTTATTTATAACTTTATCATATAAATATAATTCTCACAGGAAAGATTGGTCAAACTTGTATTTAGTAAACTTTCAAAATTAAAATAAATTTTTTACAAGAGTATTGCTTATATGTCAAGCCCTAAACTTTATATTTGTATAGTCTAAGGCTGAGTAATCAAAAATCTATACAAAATCTCATCATTAACAACTTATTAATAAATTTTTTAATATGTTGTTAAAGTTGATAATTGTTTTATGCTTCAGATAAGACTCGAGAAGCCTCCAAGGTTATCTTATCTGCACTTTGAAAGTTGGTTAACACTTGACTCAGCCAACCAGTTTGGACTGACCTTACCCCAGCAACCACAGCTGAAGGCTTTGGGTGTTTTTTCAAAAAAAAAAAGCAGCGCACACACCCACTCTCACGCTAATACACGCCAGCCAGCAGTAGACTCCTGCTCTTGTGTTGCCATATTTTTGTGTGTGGCTTTTGTTTAGCTGCTGACAGCGCTGCCAACTGCAGCGGCTGCTTGCACTGCTGCTCGCTTCTCGCTGCTCGCTTTTCAGTGCCAGCTCAGATTCAAGCATATTTATTTGCACAATTTAAATATAAATTTAACAGAAAAGGAAAAACAACGACAGAAAATAAAGAACTGACCAGCCGCTCGGCATTGGCGCCTGCTGCTGACAAGCTGACAGTCCGCACCCCAGGCCGCCTCCGCATCCGCCCCGTTCGCCTACGGGCGCCCGTTGGACTGTCGACATTTGCAGTTGTCATGCTTTTGCTTGAGTAATTAAATATAATTTTCTTTTGCGTTTTACACGGGTAACAACAATGACAGTTGCTGCTGCTCACTCAGCTATCAAATGCAGCGCAGTGCTGTCGCCCAGCGGGATGAAGGGATTGATTCTTGCTGCTGCTGCTGCTGCTGCTGCTGCTGCTGTGGCTACTGATGCTGGCAGCAACATTGGCTCTAGGCGGAAGCGGGGCTTTAAGGCGTTGAGCATACGCTATGGGTACATGGGGTCGTCAATAAATTTTGGCAAATATTTGACAAGGTTTTTTGCCAGCCATAAATAGTGTGTGTGCAGCTGCAGCAACAACGACAGCAACAACAACCGTCGCATCAATTTTTTGTAACATGTTGCCAAACATGGTTAAGCCACGCCCATCATGCCCACACCCACGCTCAGACCGCCCTTGCACTGCCCGCAGCTGTGGTGGCCACTTAAATGTCGTTATGTTGTCGGGTCACGCGCGGCACAATGTTCCATGTCCGAGCTGGGAGCAACAGCAACAGCAGCAGCAGCAGCAGCAACAGCAGCAGCAACAACAACAACAGCAGCAACTTTATTGCCGCAGCAATTATGCGTAGCTAATAAAAATGTGTGGAAGAGTGTGTGTGTGTCTGCGTGTGTGTTAAGGGTGGCAAGTGGGCGTTTCAAGAGTGGAAAAACATTGAAAGCGACATCGACAGCTTAGCGATTTATGTGTACTAAAATAATTAATGCGTTCATTTATTTAAAAACGTGTTACGGCATTCAAATTAGATCCCAAAACTCGATTCTACATGCACATTAACCCATTGACAGCATCAGAATAAGCTAAAACACATGGTTAGATTAAGTAAATATAAGAAAGCCATTAAAATATATAATTATTACGTATTTGTGTGTTATTGTCCTAAAATCACACAATTTATCATTGCCAAGCAGCAACAGCAGCCAAACACAGTGTTGCTTAACGCCAAGAGCTTCTTTTCTTGTGAAGTTGAGCATTGTATGGTTAGTGGTTGAGCCATCGAGACAGTGTTGAGAACTGCGATGTTTATCTACTTTTTCGAAAAAGGCAGAGAATTGTCAAAAGAACGAAACACAGTGTTGCATAATTTCGAAACTCTTTAGGAAGCACGAACGTTTAAAATACTGGTTTCCTGGCATGGCTATTGCGACTTTTTTGTGTAATGCTATTTAAGTTCCGTTTTTTATCATAAGTGCTTAATTCAAAATTTTGACCCAAGCCGACAAAATGGCAAGGGGTTACATCACGCTTTTTTTCAAAATAGAGGTCGGTGCGAAAATCGAAACTTTTTCGATGATTATACCCTGAACCCATTAAAAATGGGTATAAGGGTATATTGTATTTGTGCGAAATCCAAATGTATGTAACAGGCAGAAGGAAGCATCTCCGACACCATAAAGTATATATATTCTAGATCAGCATTGTTTGTTTCCGATAATCGATAACTTATTCTGTTTTATATATATTTTATTTCTAACGATGGTTCATGCTGAAGCTGAATAAGAATTTCTAAATATCACAAATTGAAACGTTTTTGGAAACTGTAAAGCATTTCACAAAGGCAATAAATCCTTTTTGACCATAATCCGAACCAACGATAACTGAAACTGGTTAAAGTTCGTTTCAGAAAATTGAAAATCCCTTAAACTATTGCTAGTAATGGGTTAACATATAAGAGTGTCCGTGTGTGTGTGTGTGTGTGTGTATGTGTGTGAGCTCTGGTGCTTTGTCGAATCGCAAATTTATTTTTCATCGTGGCAGCAGCAACAACAATCAAGCAAACAGGACAAACAATGTTGACAACAACAAAAACGGGAAAAAACCAAATATGTTAAGCGCCATTTAAGCGGCATCGTTCTGTGCCAGCCGCCTGCTGCATGAGATAATGCCCGACTCTGAGCTGATGTGTGTTTGTATATTTTTCTAAAAATTTGCACGCATTTCATTGTTGTTGTTTGTTTGTTTGTTTGTCGCACATGTGTGCGGTTCCCAGCAGCGGCGCCCCAAAAAGTATGCAAAGCAAAAAGCGGCGCACGCCACACACACACACACATACACGAAACTGAATGTGTGTATGTGTGCTAGGGTGTGAGAATTGTGGGAAATGTAAACGGAATTGTTTTGCTTGCTCAGCGTGTCTGTTTGTGTGTGTGTGTGTGCGTGGCAAAGGGATAATGACAAGCTGGCGGGGCACAGGCCAAGCACACACTCCCACACACACTCCCACTCCCACTCCCACACACACACATATGCAGTGCGCCCACTCATGCATTGGCAGGCACAAGGTGATGACGTCGTCACTGACGCCGACGCCAACGTCGACTGCGCTGCGTTGCGTGTCTTATCTACAATGCGGGAAAACACGCACGCAACTCAAGCAGCGGGTTGACACAACAACAGCAGCAACAATAAAAACAACAACAACTTGAAACCTGATTCCTGACGGTCCTTTTGCTAAGCTTGCTGCGTGTGTGGGTGCGGGCCTGGGCTTCTCGTTAGCTGAAGCAATCACAAAGGATTTGCATTGTGGTCTAATAGTGTTGGCCCATTGGCTTTGTCCTTGCCGCCATTCTGTTTGCCATCGCAAATTAACTGTGAGCTGAAAGTGTGCATTGTAAATGTACCTAATAAGACAGATAATGCATGTGTTCTTCCACACACACACACACACACACACACACACACTCACACACACACACACAGCAGCAGCAGTTGTCTCTGACTTAGGACTTAACCTTGTCTTGGCCGCTTGAATGAACAGCCAAGAGGCCATGCAGGTTATCAGAAATCGGCACAATTTACAATTCAAACACATCTACAGTGGAATTACATATAAGAAAGAAGTAATATCTGCAGATTGTTGAAGATTGAATACCCTTACAGAATTTTAGTTGAAAATGTTGATAAATTATGCCATAGATGCGCCTTTCTTGAAGATGTGAAAGTTTGCCGGATCGGCCTACTATATCAAACAGCTACCATAGGAATATTAGACCGAAAATTAATTTCTCATATAAACAAACTTGTAGTTTATCAAGATATACTCATAAGTCTGTCATTTATAAGTTTCACCGTGATCCGCATATATAAGCAAAATATAGTGAATAATGTATGAGAAAATATTCCGTTTTTTAAGATATTGTAAGCAAACTTAGCAATTACGAACTTAGATAAAATGTAAGGGTATTTCATAGTCGACGTTAAGAAAGCTTATCTATCTTGTTTTCATCTATATTTGTTAAATAGAATTATCTTATCAAATATTCTTCAATACACTTCGTTGAGAATAACCGTTAAAATAAAATATTCACCATAGTTTTTAAATGTGAAGTCACCTCCGAATTCGCCTTGTGACTTTTGGCGCGCAACTTATTCGCCGCGGCAAACTTCTGTTAAGTAACTCAACAGACGCTTACTAATACTAAAACAGCTGTTACTGTTAAGGCTCTGTTGCTGCACTCGCGCAACTGTTACGCAACAGAGCTGTTGAGCGCCAATAAAAATATAATTTTACAACACTGCTTTCGTTTTAAAAGAAGCGTTAGGTTTAGAAATCCATTTATAAACAAAGAACGCAAAATAATAATAAAACATTATTGTTATTTAAGGTATTTGATATACATAATAAAACTGATGGAATATATTTATAATCTCATTAAAATAATTGCACTTTATTTACGTACTAGAAGCTTACGTTAATTAAGTCTAAAGGACTATTAAGTTATTTGTTCAACGGGTTATATTGTGTTGCCTACAACGGGCGAGTGACGCTATCAGCCCACTGGGCTGGCCGCTGTGGCAACTGCCACGCCCACTTAACGGCGACAACAACGACGACAATGACGATGATTCGACTAATTTAATGACTATTGTTCATTGACTCAGTTTAGATGTGAGAAAAGTTAGCTATGCGGATGCGGCTCTGTCCGGGTAGCAGCTGCTAGCTGCATGGCTGTGGCACGGTCAGGAGCAGGGGCAGGGGCAGGTGCATTGTGACGTGCGTGGAGTAAACCTTAGAGTAAACATATACGTATCTAATTTAGTCTATGCACTAATTATCACATAGTAAACTTATTACGTAGGCGTTTAAATTTGCACTGATTCGATGCACTTTGACTTGCAGTTGACTCGTTGACATGGCCGAAAGGCAGCTCAGCCATAGCTCAGCAGATACTTGGGCAGGTAGGTGATGGACGAAATCAGGCTATAGCTGTGATAGAAACATAGGCACAAACAAACCGGAAGCATGTGTGCGGGTTAAGGTTAAAATCTTGTAATGTTTATTGTCAAATGTTAATAATATTAATGTTGTCAAATATATTAATTTACATTAATTAAAGGTTTACAAAAAATCACCAGCAGCCCCTTTAGTCAGTGCTTAAACATAAATACTTATATTTATTCGTCGATAATATTTACAATTTGTCGTTTTGACCTCAACCATATGTACCATAAACCACATCCAAAAATTCCCAGTCATTTGTGTGATTTGTGCTCTCCGGCTCCACGTTGTTCTCATCCCCGCTGTTTGTATGCATGTGTGCCCAAACCAGAGAGAATAAAAGTGTGTGAAATTATTTGCAATTATATGAGACAGTATGTGTGCGTGTGTGTGTGTGTGTGTGTGTACAACTACAAAAGCAACAACAATTACAATGGAACAATTGGACACAAATGAGCACAAAGTGTTCGCAAACCAGCACCAACAATTGTACAACAAATAGAACAAACAGCGACAACTACGATACATACGAATTGCTGAGTCCGCGATAGAGCCAATTCTTCCAGGACTTCGAGGAGCCCTCATCGATCTTGGACTCCACATCCGCACAGAAATGGCGACGATCGTGTGAGCGTCCGCTCTTGCAGTCGCACAACATGCGCTTCTTGCACTCCGCATCGCAAGTGGGTCGCGCCGGCGAGTTTTTCCAGTAATTTCTAATGAACATCAAAAATATGCACATTTTTAATACTGAGGAACAATCACGGGCCTCTGCCAGACTGTTGGCTTACTTGTAGTACATCTCGAACAGTTCCTGATTGTCGGTAAGATCGTTGAGCAGCTTGTTCCAATCGCTGGGCCGCAGCGCCTTCATATTGTACGCAGCTCTGGCCGTATATAGCTTGTACCAGATCGGATATCCATATAGATTGGCCTCCTTCAGATTCATTATCCAGGATTCATGGTCAATGACCAGACGTGTCGTTGTATCGTGATCACCGTCCACCTAAAAATTAATGGTGTTAGATTTATAGCTGACAAAGTTTCTACTTTGAAAATGTTATAAAAATTATTTTTCAATATTTCATGTTGTATTTAAGAGGTAGATAGAATTGTCGTCATTTTGTGTGGTTTCCCTTTAACTTACATAGTAAATGCGATAGCCTGGATTCAGATCGTAATAGGGCGATACGGAAGGTCCGATATAGGCAATGCTATTTGAATGCGCTAGAATTTAAAAACAATTTTATGTTAATAAAGTAAAAATATGGGATGAGAGCAAAATTATCAAAAAGAATCGTAAAAATCAAAGGAAATTATGTTCGTATGAGAAGCATTCAGTGTTGGGTACAGATAAAAATTGTTTAAGATTAAACTTAAAGGAAGATTTAATATCCTTGTAGAGATTACAAAAAGAAGAGCCTTGGAAAATGCTATTTAACATTGAAAGATGAGCTTAATTTTAAGTTTAATGATTAAAAAATGCCTAAAGTAATTTAAGAATAATGTGTCTTAAGTAATTTATAAATAGTAATAAAAGCCGAAAAACATACTCAAATCATGTGGATCGTAGAACATTTCAAACTCATCAAAGTGCGTATGTCCATAGAACTGAGCGGTAATGGTGCTCTCATAGCGCGAAATGATCTTGTAGAAGTTGCGGGACCAGACCTTCAGGCAATCCGAATGACCAGGCGGTATGTGGCCAATGACATGGACCTTCTCATTGGAGAACTCAGCGCTCTGCAGCTCGTAGATGAACCTAAAAGCAAAAGAGATGGATTAGATGT